CTCTGCTGGGATGCAGGCCATCAGCGCGAAAAAGCCTAGGACGCTCCCAGAAAAAATTCCAGTTATTAACAAAGAGCAGTTTCTGTTCTTTACACCATGACAATAACCATTCATTTAAAGCAAAAAGCCTACTGAACTTTGGGTCCTCGTCGATATGTGGGAAGCGGTCCTCCACAACAAGAGAGCCTTGATCAACGACCATGGCTTAAACTACAGAGTTTACAACACTCCCGGCACTAGATGTACACATAGCATTACAAGACAAGTTATAAATATAGATGACTCAGTCAAGACAAATACATTTATACAAAAAAAAAAAAAAAAAACAAGTTATCCCCAGTGAAGACCTTGTCTCCTAGACAACCGGGACAAGACCACAGGAACCAGTTGAGTCCTCTGCACAATGTGACTTTGCTGCAGCCTGGATGGTTGCTGGTTTTGTCTGGCCAGAGGAGAACTGGCCTCCCAACTGAGTCTGGTTTCTCCCATGGTTTTTTCTCCATTCTGTCACCGATGGAGTTTGGGTTCCTTGCCGCCTGTCGCCTCTGGCTTGCTTAGTTGAACTGAATTCAGTGATGTCATCGTCCAGCTCAGTTCAGTTTAACTAAGTTCAATGATGAACTGCCTTTAACTGAAAATTGAGTGTTCCCTATTGTCATTTTGAATTATTGACACTATTTTCCCATTTAATGCCTATCATTGGTTGATCAGGATGTACATAAGGATGGCCATGATTCCCAGCGGCTTTGGAGAATTTGGGTTAGAATATATAGAAGATTCAATTGAGTTTCAGTTGGCAGTTTACTGAAGAAAGCTCTCCACATCTCTTTAGCTCGAAGAGCAAACAAGCCTAGAAGAGCATAATTCTGAAGAATGAGCACTCACCTATGAAACCCTCAATGAATACAAGTGAGCTGTCATTAAGGAACGGGACAGGATCACATCCAACTCATCTAAGCAGTTGCCCAGCTCACCTGGAAGACATGGAATGAGTTGTGGTTTACATTTAACCCTAATGTCGCAAAGGAGATGCATAAAGAGCATATTTCCAGGTATTTAAGAGAAGGAAACCCATTCAAGGTGAGCTTGAGAGAGAGAAGAGGGCATCAGTGCCTGGTTGATTCTAGTCTCAGCCATCATGCCCACGAACTGCTGGCTGAACATCTGATGTATGCGGCACACAAAACTGGAAACATTACAGGAGTTTCCAAATCGTCATCTGATTATTTATTTAATTGTATAGGATTTCTGGGAGACGCGCCAGTACATTTAAGTATAGGTAGGGCTGGTCAAAAAAAAAAAAAAAAAAAAAAAGCGATTTTGAACACGATTTTGTGTAGCTTGTCAGTGATCTACGGCTTGGTGTAGTAAATGCCGCTCCATTTGAAAGCACGTGCTGGAGATTTACTACTAATCACCAGAAGTGGCTTTACTGAAGAGATTCGAATGGGGGAAAAAAAAAAAAAACGCATTTGATTTTTTGCCCAGCCCCAAGTATAGGTAAGTGTACAAGTTGAAGACAGGAGTTAGTGTATACTGCTGGAATCCAGGTTTAAGATCTGAAAGCCGTCAGTCAGAGAAGATCAAAAGAGGCTAGAAGAGACAGCATTTCTGCAGCATGAGGCTCATGAAGATAGACTCTGGAGTTACCAATGACGATGAGTGGGCCTTCAATCAAGGAGCGGGGGAAAAAGCTGATCTGGAGTCTGAAATTCCGTTTGAATTTCATTCAATTCTTGGCACTAATTGAGTATTTCTGCTGTATAATTTATAAAGCTGATGGAGAGCAGAGTGCCGATGGGTCCTCTTATTATATTCCAGGTCTCAGTCGAGAGTGTGACTAGAGCTGTAATGAAATCAGACTTGCAAAAGAGTGAGGGGCAGGACGACACATGCAAGCATATATTAAGAGTAAAGAGCATGGAGGAAAAAAAAAAAAAAAAAAAAAAAAAAGTCCTGCACTTTAAACAAAACGCATTCCATCAACTATCGATTAATTATACTGCATAAAACAAACATTAAAACCAGTCTTTTGAACAAGGTTAAAGAGTAACCAACCACAAACCTACAGAAAACATTAGACAAAACAGTGCTTTAGTGGGCTCCCTGTCGCCATGTTTGAGGCACCACATCTATCTGATATCGGACCTCAGTAACAATGAATTTGCACCTGCAGGGGATTGACTCTACTCACTACCTAGCATTGATCAAAGACTGCAGTGGGTCATTCTCCACCACAAAGCTTGGTTGGACCCAGTAAACAGCAATACACAGTGTTGTAAATATTGAGAAACACAGGAGGACTCACCTCAGCAGCTGTTGATTTTCTCAGGAGAAACCGCTATTAACACTTTCAGTACCTCACTGGAAAAAAAAAAGCAAACCATTAAAAGTAACTGCATGCCGGTAACAGGAACACTGAGCTGCTTGAGGAAACCAGATCCATCTGTGAGTCATTTATAAAGATATTAGATTAAAAGACCTTGGAATTCTGTAGCACTGACAAAGTCAACAACGAGTGGACTTCCATCAAGGAGTGGAGGTGAAGAAGAAAAAAACTGAGATCTTTAAGATGTGCACCTTAGACCTTGATTAGTATATTCAGGTGTGTTTGATTTGGGTTGGCGCTGAACTCAGCAGGACTGTGGCTCTCTAGGATCGACATTGGCCACCCCTGGGTTAGCGGTTTCAGTACCATTAAAATCACATCTATATAGGCAGTGTAAATAATTACAAGAACAAAGTACAAGAGAAAAATAAACAACATAAAAAAAAAACTACTCACACACAATGATTTCAATCTCCAGTAAGTTATTAACTCTCCAACCTCCATCTTACACTGACAAGCCTGTGAAATTTCAGCATTTATACTCATGGACACAACCATTGACGGGGATGCAAGCAACCAGGAATTACATTCACCAAATAACCAAATCTCAAGATTATAATCTTTTTGTACATGCATTAATCCATAAATTATTATTTAAAAGTAATTTATGCATAGTTCAAGTAATTCAATTTTAAAACCACAAAAATCCATTTTATCATTTGGTTTCTCCCACATCCCATGATGCAGCACAGCACAGATATAAAAGTTAATTTCAGGAGATGTTCTGGTTTTTCTAGAATTTAATTTTCCAATTGCCAATTGCTTCGAAAAATGATTCAATGTTACAAAAAGCACTTGAAACAGCACACGCTGGTGACACCTGCTGATGAAAATGTTGTAAAAGCATCAAGAACTCTTCATCAAACTTACAAAACAAATGGACATGTTTTTTTAAGAAATACCATATTGAAAAAAATTAATAATAAACACTTAAATACTATTAAATATTAGTGCTTGTGTTATGTGTTTTATTTAAGTATAATCAAACCCTTAACACACAATGAACTAAATTAATTCAAATAAACCTATACAAGCATTGTGTGGATGAATTTCTGAATGTTACTCACCCATTTCCAGTGACAAGGAAGCACTTGAAAAAGCAATTAACCATTAATCCTCAAACTCACAGATCGTTTGTGAATGAAATAATCAAATTCCTTCAGAACATGCCAACATTGAGTCTTAACTGAAAAGCAGACAAAAAAAACACTAGTGATAAACTAAAGAAACACAGTTATGGAAATATACATTCACAATACACACTGAATACTCTCCTCTGAGGCGGTTACTAGAAAACTCACCTGCCTGTAGCTCACCTCCAGTAACCCTTAGACCTTGATTAGTATATTCAGGTGTGTTTGATTTGGGTTGGCGCTGAACTCAGCAGGACTGTGGCTCTCTAGGATCGACATTGGCCACCCCTGGGTTAGCGGTTTCAGTACCATTAAAATCACATCTATATAGGCAGTGTAAATAATTACAAGAACAAAGTACAAGAGAAAAATAAACAACATAAAAAAAAAACTACTCACACACAATGATTTCAATCTCCAGTAAGTTATTAACTCTCCAACCTCCATCTTACACTGACAAGCCTGTGAAATTTCAGCATTTATACTCATGGACACAACCATTGACGGGGATGCAAGCAACCAGGAATTACATTCACCAAATAACCAAATCTCAAGATTATAATCTTTTTGTACATGCATTAATCCATAAATTATTATTTAAAAGTAATTTATGCATAGTTCAAGTAATTCAATTTTAAAACCACAAAAATCCATTTTATCATTTGGTTTCTCCCACATCCCATGATGCAGCACAGCACAGATATAAAAGTTAATTTCAGGAGATGTTCTGGTTTTTCTAGAATTTAATTTTCCAATTGCCAATTGCTTCGAAAAATGATTCAATGTTACAAAAAGCACTTGAAACAGCACACGCTGGTGACACCTGCTGATGAAAATGTTGTAAAAGCATCAAGAACTCTTCATCAAACTTACAAAACAAATGGACATGTTTTTTTAAGAAATACCATATTGAAAAAAATTAATAATAAACACTTAAATACTATTAAATATTAGTGCTTGTGTTATGTGTTTTATTTAAGTATAATCAAACCCTTAACACACAATGAACTAAATTAATTATTAGATTAATTTATTTATTAGATTTTTTAAAAAATGAATGAATGAATGAAATGTGCTTCATGTGATAATTTAGATTAAAAAAAATTTTTACAAAATGTTATATTAATAAACTGATCTGATAACAAGGCTACAAAAATCCTTACAAAATCAGGTTACTACTTTTTACAGTGTACTCTGAAATTATTATATTATTTATATCATATATTATGATAGCGGTTACTAGAAAACTCACCTGCCTGTAGCTCACCTCCAGTAACCCTTAGACCTTGATTAGTATATTCAGGTGTGTTTGATTTGGGTTGGCGCTGAACTCAGCAGGACTGTGGCTCTCTAGGATCGACATTGGCCACCCCTGGGTTAGCGGTTTCAGTACCATTAAAATCACATCTATATAGGCAGTGTAAATAATTACAAGAACAAAGTACAAGAGAAAAATAAACAACATAAAAAAAAAACTACTCACACACAATGATTTCAATCTCCAGTAAGTTATTAACTCTCCAACCTCCATCTTACACTGACAAGCCTGTGAAATTTCAGCATTTATACTCATGGACACAACCATTGACGGGGATGCAAGCAACCAGGAATTACATTCACCAAATAACCAAATCTCAAGATTATAATCTTTTTGTACATGCATTAATCCATAAATTATTATTTAAAAGTAATTTATGCATAGTTCAAGTAATTCAATTTTAAAACCACAAAAATCCATTTTATCATTTGGTTTCTCCCACATCCCATGATGCAGCACAGCACAGATATAAAAGTTAATTTCAGGAGATGTTCTGGTTTTTCTAGAATTTAATTTTCCAATTGCCAATTGCTTCGAAAAATGTTACAAAAAGCACTTGAAACAGCACACGCTGGTGACACCTGCTGATGAAAATGTTGTAAAAGCATCAAGAACTCTTCATCAAACTTACAAAACAAATGGACATGTTTTTTTAAGAAATACCATATTGAAAAAAATTAATAATAAACACTTAAATACTATTAAATATTAGTGCTTGTGTTATGTGTTTTATTTAAGTATAATCAAACCCTTAACACACAATGAACTAAATTAATTATTAGATTAATTTATTTATTAGATTTTTTAAAAAATGAATGAATGAATGAAATGTGCTTCATGTGATAATTTAGATTAAAAAAAATTTTTACAAAATGTTATATTAATAAACTGATCTGATAACAAGGCAACAAAAATCCTTACAAAATCAGGTTACCACTTTTTACAGTGTACTCTGAAATTATTATATTATTTATATCATATATTATGATATAAATTATTTATAACTTGTGAACCCACCTCTTACAGGTGTAATCTCTTCTAAGATGTGATATAAATCTGAACTGTATGGAACAAATTGAAACATTTTATAACTAGTGAAGCCAACTGTTACAGGTTTAATAATAATCCAATATGTTTCTCACTTCAGACTCTATGGAAAAAAAGAAAGAGTGGATAATCTTTTTAGAGTCATTGTTGTCCTCAGCTAATTTTTCATTCATTTATATTTAATTTACAAAAACCTTTTCTAATGTTTTACTCCCTTGTGTAAAAAGGATGTTTTCAGAAATGCAACAATGAGTGCATGGTCTTGTTTGCAATTACATATACAGTGCTTAACAAATTTATTAGGCCACCACCCAATAGGTTTGTGCCACAGCTGCTTGTTACTTGTAATTTTTCTGAAATGGTTCATCCACCAGTATGTGTAACGCCGAGTTCACACTGCACGATTTTCAAACTCGTCGGATCGCCGTTGTTTTGTGGTGTAGCATTCAGTTGCTGCTGTGTTCACACTGCACGACGACAGGAGGTTACACACTGCATGACTTCACAATAGGAAGAATTGCCGACAGCTCTGTCTGGTGTAGGGTTGCCAGGTTTTCGCTACAAAACCCGCCCAATTGCTACTCAAAACTAGCCTGAAAATAGCCCAATTGCTTTCGAGGGGGTCCCCCAGTAAAAATCGCGTTTGGGGGGTCAAATACAAATTTTTTTGGTGGGGTTCTCCTGGTACAATTCACATTCCAGAGCCTAAATATCACGTTATTGTGAATCGCTGACAGCTCCAGATATTTAGCATGCCAAATATTCCCTCAGATTGCATCTTTGATCAGTCACACTGCGTCACTCACGTAAATGAGCACCGATTTTCCTCCGATTTCGGGCATTTGTCGGCAATTTCGCAAAACCTGTCAGCGAGTAAAATCGGGCTAAAATCGTGCAGTGTGAACTTGGCATTAGATCTTTAGTCAAAGTAGTGTTTCTAATGCTAAAATATAATTATTGTTGGGATTGAATGATTCTAAGATAGATTGCACAAAAGTTTAATTTAAAAACAAGTCTTTGGGAACAACTAGAAAATATTTGGAAGTCAGTAACAACAGAGACTGTGGAAAAGTGCATAAAAATTATGCCAGCAAGAATGCAAGCTTTTATCAAGGCCAAAGGAGGCCATACAAAATAAAAATACAATAGCCCATTTATATTTTTTGGTTTATTAGTTTTTGGTTATTATGTGTGAATAAAAACTATTTAGTTGTTTCAGTTTGTTATTTGCCCAACTTTTAGTTTTAAACAAGTTTTTGACGGGCGGTCTAATACCTTTGTATATAGCTACATATAGTTTTGTGAGGATTTGAACTGAAAATAAAACTTACAAACTCACTCGTTTACACTTTTCCCCTTTTTTGATTGCATTAATATTGAGTACTGATTGATGTTCACATGGATTTTTTCCCCCATCTAGGGGAAATAACTTAATACTAACTTAATATTTATAGTCGTATGGTAAAATGTATATTTTTAATTGTGTAACGTTACGTTCAAAATAACTACAAAATGTCATGCCTTTGAAAAAATAAAGAGAACAACAGAATGCGCTGCTTTAGCGCGTCTCGGTCTCCTTGAGCATCTTTCTGCCGCATGCCACAAACACGAACCACAGGGAATACTCGTCTTTTAAAAGGCTTCATTTAGACTATTTTACATTAAATGCATCTTACAAGTCACTTTGGAATAAATCACAGTAGGCCTATGTATCATGATTTTAAAAAGCGACTTTACAGTCTGGAAGTAGTTTAGGCTATAGCAAATGATTTCTTGGACCCACTATCACTTCAAGAACCGCTGGTCTACACAGAAGAAAGACCTGTCTAGACTCTGCCCCGGTACGAGTTGTGTCCAGCTATTCATTAGTCTGTTTGTTTGATGAAAAATATGAAACTGATAAAATGAGTTATTAATCCGTACAACTGTAGCAGTGGAGGACTATTATTCTGCTGCGTGATACTGCGGAAGAACTGATGACGGCACGGTTGGATCTTCGGCTGACCAATCAGCAGAAAGGGGCGTTTAATTCCCGCCCACATGTAGAAATCGAATATTCAAGCTGTTTATTCATTTTTCCACCCATGAACGAAAAACGTAAATTTAAGATGAGTTCTCGTTTTTCGTTTTTTGAAAAAAAACTAAAAAAGAGACGTTTTCTCATTTTTCTACTTTAAATAATAAATCAAAAAACGAATGATCGAATGATACACAGATTTCCCCTCCGCCCTATTGCATCGATCACATTGAGAAGATATATAGGGAAATATTTTATTTAATCTAGTTTTGGAATAATGAAGACGATGTATAACTTTGAACTGGATTCATTTATATCTCGAATTTACCGAACAACTCTTTATTCTCAAGGCTTCTTCCCAGATCTCATCAGTCACTTCATCGCTCAGTTCAGTAGACCAGACTGCTTTAAGGTGCTTAGTACATACAGATGTTGCAAAAGCACGAATAAAGCAAGATACCAGATGTCTGGTCTCAGGATTAGAAGATAAGAGATCATGAATAATATGATTTTCAGGTTTATTTATAAACTGTGGAATATTTTTCTTTACATAATTTCTAATCTGCAAATAACGGAAAAAGGGAGACTGTGGGAGTGTAAACGTACTTTTAAGTTGTGAAAAAGATGCAAATTGATCCTTTATATAGAGATCTCCAATACAGCATAAGTCTTTTCTCCTCCATCCTGAAAAAGTACCATCAATCTGAGAAGGCTCAAACAAAAGATTACATGATATTGGTGTACTGACTGAGACTTCTGGTAATTTATCAAATGTATTTATCTGATTAAAAATCTTCAAAGAATTTCTCAACACAAAATTACTGCTTCCTAATTTACTGATAGATTTACACTCTGTAAAAAGCAAAGCTGGTAGAGAGGACTCTGGCACTGACAAACCCATAATGGAGAGGTCTCAGATGTCATATCATCCAGGATGCCCCTTTGCCAGAAAGTGAGAGCCCTGGCATTTGCTGCCCAATAATAATGCTTACAAATGGGAAGGCCAAGACCTCCACAATCAGTAGGTTTTTGTAAGTGGGCTTTTGCTATGCGAGTTGATTAATAGTTCCATACAAATGAAAGAATAACTGAATCAAGTTGTCTAAAACAATTTCCAGGTAAATAAATCGGAAGATTTTGGAAGAGATATAAAAACTTAGGGAGAACAACCATCTTTATCACATTCACACAGCCAATTGGTGATGAAGGGAGCAGTTTCCAGCTTTCAATGTTTAATTTGACTCTGTTTAAATTTAAACTAATATTTAGGTTTCTTTGGAATTTTCAAACCAAGATATGCAAAGTGTTCCTTAAATATTTTAAATGGATCAGGTATTTATTTATTTATGTATTTCTTTCGCACTTCTAAGACTCTTGGAGTAAAGTTTAAGATGTTGTACTGTTGCTTTCAATATACATTCAAACATCACAGAAAAACAACATACACTTCCATTTAAAATGTTGTGTTTTTCTAATGATTGCTGTTCCTCAAACTCAACAAAGAATTATGAAAACAGACATTGCATTGCTGTTTCAACAGTTAATTAAGCAGCACAACCATTTTTGACATAAATAATAACAATAAATGTTTCTTGAGCAGCAAATCAGCTTATCATATGAAAATGTACATTTTAAAATATATTAAAATAGAAAACAGATATTTTAAATTGCAATAATATTTTACAATATTCGTGTTTTTAATGCATTTTTGATCAAATTAATGAGAAGAAGAGACTTCTTTCAAAAACAAAAAATCTTTCTGAGCCCAAACTGTTGAACAGTAGGAAACTTCCACATGAAGTGAATTTGCATGAAGACTTGTTATGTTTGTGTAAACCACACGATGGCGACAGAGCATTGAACGTTAAGTGTTGCGACTCAAATTCAAAACCCTGTTCAATAAATATTTGCACTTCCAACCTCCGATGAGAGGCTTTTAAATTAAAACCCATTAGTTCAGATTTGTTGAGTTTTGTACTCTAAGATAACCATAATAACCATAAACCTGAGTTAAACAGAAGACCAATTAAAATGGTTAGGGTTATTGTTATATTTCTGTCATATTTCTTACTTTAGTTTGAAAGAACAGCCTGCTGCCTTTTGAATGCAGTCTCGCTCAAATATAAGATTTCCACTACGACTTGTTTTTGCTGAATCATTTCCAGTGTTATGTAAATGTAGTAGTTATACTTTTTTGTATGTGTCCATAATAATTCACTAATAAGTCACTATTATTCTGTGAACCACAGAAAGAAGTTGAAGTCACAACTGGAAGTTCTGTTTTCCCCCCATTATTTTATTCTTTTTTTAATTCTATATATTATTATTGTTGTTCATATATTTATAGGCTTGATGCAATTCATAATTACCCAGGTAATTAACACATTCACTAAGGCAATACAGTGGTTATCTGTAAGGGAGATGCATTAATATCATTGTTAATACTAAATTGTAGGCAAAAGGGTGAAGTGGTGAAGTGTTTATTAATTTAATGTGTAGAACAAAGACTAGGTATATTATAGAAAATGAAGACGACTTAAAAACGGCCCTTAACACCAAACCACCAAACTCTTTCTAATCGCGTCGTAGCAGTCATTGCACCAACCTGGAGTAAACACTGCACGTGCAGTTTTTCTTTAGAGCAAATATAGAACAAAAGCACAGGCGATCTGCTCGTGGAATGAGAAATGTTTCCGTTTACATTGTTCATAATACGTCAATGACTGTGAACTGCAGTCTTGGCAAATGGGAGCCCATTATGAGATAACTCTACAAGTCTGAAAATACTGAGTTAATTTTTTTAGCAAAAGTCTCCTTTTAATCTCTCATTGATTTCAAGACTGTCTAGAGAAACGCAAAGTCGTGCATTTAATCTTTAATGTTTTCGCTCAATGCAGCGAGTGTTGACGACACGCTCCTGAGCGCGCTGACAGTTAACGACGAGAGCGCAGCTGCACCAGTGCTGCACTAACGAGTCCTGTCTCAGCGGCGCAGCAGCGAGCGTCTCAGATCGCTTCAGAAGCAGCAGCGAGCGTCGCGAGCGTCTCAGAAGCAGCGGCGCAGCAGCGAGCGTCGCGAGCGGACACGGACGGAGATGGCAGGAGCGCAGCCGGGGGTTCACGCGCTCCAGCTCAAGCGCGTTTCGGTGCCCGAGAGCCTGAGGACCGGCGATAAGTTCATTAAATGGGACGATGTAAGTAACATGCGTGGCAATGTCCGTCCATTTCCTAGATTTCATCGTCCTATTTTGTTGGAAAACATTAAAAAGATAGATCACCCCAAAATGAAGCTTCTGTCGTCATGTATTCTCCCTCATATGACTGACTTCTGTTAAACCCCATTCATCCCAGCGTTTCCCTCAAGTATCTTACACTTAAAGAGATCGTAGAAATGAGTAAATAATGACAAACTTTACATTTTTGGGTGATTATCTCTTTTAATGCAAATATATTGTGTAGGATGGCTTTTTTATTTTGAGAAAATTTGTATTTCAAACCAATGTATTCATCTTCATCTTGATCAGTTATATTTAACTATTGGGGCATGTTGTCAGGTCATATTTGCGTAGCTGCTTCCTTTTCTTTAATAGATTGTTAGTGATATTTGTTTGACATTATGTTTAGGCAAATTACCTTTATTAATAACTTTAATCATAACAGCTGACAGCATATGCACCTGGCAGGTGATCCTGGAAATCTGATGATTATCTTCAATGTAATGTTTCCTTGTTCCCATATTTCCTCATATTCTCCTCTTTCATGGCCTCTCCTGCCTTAAAAGGTCAAAGCTGTTCACAAAAGTCATTAAGTCCAAGTGCTTTCATCAGGGTTAGGTAAAGAAAATGCTGACACAGAGCTTCATGGAGGGACAAACATAACTAAACAACAGCGATAACTACTTTAACTGAAAATCACAAATTCACAATGGATGCAATGTGAGTTTGACACAAATTATGGATAGGGTCCTTGTATTATTGGCTTTCCAAGATGATTGCACATAAGTAATAGAGGAAGAATTACTGTATTGTTAATAATTCCAAGCCTCAGTTAAACTATGTTGTGTTTGGCATAGAGATGACAGTAGCGTGTCGGCTTCTGATGAGACTTTGTTTAGGAGAGAAGTGGGATTTCTATTTTTCCTGTCAGAAACCACTTTATCAGGTTTATTCGAACATCTCTAGCAATGCTGCACTTCAGGAGTGGTCTTCATTATCCACTGTGCCCAGCCCTTGAACTGCAGAAATGCATGAATGAATGAATGAATGAATGAATGGTTTTGTAATCCACCTGCACAGGGCCGGATTTACGCACAGGCATTCTAGGCACGTGCCTATGCTCGCTCGTCCTGGGGGGCCCAAACACAATGAAGAGATATATAATATTTTGTTATACTATGGGCTATCTACAACAGTAAAAGAACCAAAACCCCAGAAGACATTGAGCAAATAAATATAACAAACAAACAATAGGGTAAAAATGACAAACTATTTCCATGTCTTCCACCTTTTTTATGTACGGAAATCATGCTTTCTCCGGTTCTGTCTCACAGACGCACATACACACACACACGCGGACAGAAACGCTGCCCCGCGAATTTATCAGTAAAATAGTTTTGCAGCTGAAAAGTCACATCTCAGTAGGGAGTTTCTTGAAGCAGTTTAACTTAAAGATTCGCTATTAGTCAACGCTGCTGCTGAACGCTGCTGAGAGACACACAGACGCAGGTATTCACACGCGCTTAATATCTCTCTCTCTCTCGCTCTAATAACTGCATTAATAACTGCATTAGCCTGCATATCAATGGCCCAAGCCTCTGTTATTAGCTCTAAAATGAAGTTTTGGAATTTGCAATGGAAGGTTTGGGATGAGGTGCGTAAAAATAGTTCAACACATTTTAGGACGGAAACATGTCAAATGTCTTGAGAAACAAATCATCTGAACAATGTCTTGATGTGTGTTTGTGACTCCTAGCTGTTAAAATTATTAGAGAAATAACTCCCGAAGAGGTATGCCGCGTCTATTAATGGAATGGTCTTTCTGAGTTCTCAAACAAATTAAGAGCTACATTCGATTTTTATTGACTGAACGCAAGTGCTTATTGCGATAGAAAAACACTAACGTTTCCACTGATTAAGAAATATTTTTGTTTGCTTGGGTGGTAATATTAGGTCTAACATATTAATAGGAAAGGGGGGCCCAAAAATGTGTTTTGCCTCTGTCATGAAAAGAGGTAAATCCGGCCTTGCACCTGCATGTACTGAACCAGCAGGCAGATTGTTTATGATCATCATTGCTGATGGTAATGCCTCATCTTTGGTGATGCTGGAACTCTGATCTTAGACTGTCATAAACTGCCCCAGTTAAATCTTTGTCAAGAGAAAACAAAATAAAATGCGTTTTTAGCACTTCTCATATTATTGCCTCCTTAAGAAGAGTTGCTTTTTTATATTCCTCATTTATACGTCAGTTTGGATAAAAGTGTCTGCTGAATTAATAAATAAATGTCATGTTTGAGAGTGACAACTGTATTTAAAATTGAGTGTGAATCTCCTAAATTACTGTTTTTAAGCGGGTCCAGAATAGAAGCTAATATTAACGACCAGAGACATATTATTGTCCCCCATTCTTCATACCATGTAGATTTCCAGTGTCTTTTTATCTGATCTTAGTTTTATAAACAAAAAGAAATGAAATATCCGAAATGCTCCAAAACAGCTTTCAGAGCTTATAAATGATGCAGTCTTGAAGTAGCGGATCGCTTTCTCTGATCTCCTCCAGTGACCACCGTGTTTCCTAACATGTGCATGAGGAGCAGGGATGCATGTGATGCTCCTGTTTTTTCCAGTTTGTGGTGGTTTTGGGTGTGATTCCAGGCTGATTTCCTGAGTTTCCCCAGTTCACATGTTTTTATCCTGTGCACTCCTTCCTCTTTTGTCCCTTTCATTCTTTCAGCTTTCTTCATCCTGTTTCACTTTTAGCTTTTAAAGTCTTTGTGTTCTCACTGGTAAAACTGAAAAGCAAAGCGGTTTGCTGGAAGAGGCTTTTGAAGCCCAGAGTTTTCTGCAGAATCATTTGATTGCAGCCTTTCACTTACTGTTGTGCTCGTTTTTATTCGTTGCTACCTACTGGGAACAAGCCAAAGAAAGATCAAAGAAAGAGTTTTTTTTTTTTATCAGTAGGCCTATTAGTCATTCAGTACACCTCATCTTACTTGCCTTGCCAGTCTGTCAGAAAACAACTACTTCTAGAGAATTAGTGATCACCGAAATGTCACATTGCACCTAAGTAGGGCTGGTCGGTATGCACAACTGTAAAAACATGTCAAGACATTTTGCATGGCGGATATATTGGCCAGGACTTCTTTGTTATTGATATGTGAGAGTCATTCAGACTGCTCAGGGCTGCGTTTCTCGATAACCATTGATCTTAGCACTTAAGAGCGTTTTCTACGAGTCATTTTACGATCGTCGTTATTGTTTCACGTGCGTTTCCCAAAAATGCACTTAACGCAATCGCACGTAGCCGTGCTTTAAGTGCTACTTAGGAGTCGCTATCCATTTGTCAAGTGCTGAAATGTCACCTTATAGAATGGCTCGTTATTGTTGTAAACACTCGTTTATTGAAATGTTAACCTAATGCTGCGTTCCAGACAACTCGGATATAATAACTATTATATTATATTATATTATATACTTTACATAATCATATATAATATATATATTACGATCAGTCGTACGATCATTTTTACAATCATTTTTATGAACTTCTTAGGCTTATGAAGCTTTTGGGAAACGCAGCCCAGAACAGTTCGGCCTGATGGCATTTGGTTGTTTACAGTCACAAATTCATGTGCATCAAAGGTGTGTGTTTATCAGCTTCATGTGTGTCTCATCCAATCAGAATCAGAGCCTGGACTCTCTGTTTTCTAATGTTAGTTTAGCTGTTTTGAGTCTTTAACATTGAAATGAGTCCTCTGCCCAATCTGACCTGTGCTGCAGCCTGGAATTAAACCACGCCATGCTGGTTTGGTCTGGACAGAGGAGAACTGGCCCCCGACTGAGCCTGGTTTCTCCCAAGGTTTTTTCTCCACTTCTGTCACCGATGGAGTTTCGGTTCCTTGCCACTGTCACCTTTGGCTTGCTTAGTTGGGGACGCTTAATTTCTGGCAATATTGTTGACTTTGCACAGATACTATTGAACTGAACTGAGCTGTATGATGACATCACTGAATCCTCAATTAACTGACTTTAGCTGAAAAACTGACTGTTTTCTGTCCTTTAGCATTATCAGCACGTTTTTCTTGTTAGGAATCTTTTGATGTTTTGCTGTGAGTCCATCAAGATTAAAAGAAAAAAAGAAAATAATCAAACGAGGCTACTCATGTTTTCAGTTGTAAAGTATTTAATTAACTAAATTAACACAAAAAAAGATATAGAAATAACTTTTATTAAATTGCCAATAAAATAACCTTTATTATTTACAATATACAATGTAATCCAACCCTCTACGGATACCTTGGCAATTGAATCACCATTGGCTAGTAAATGTTTTAGTTTACTCGCCAGAGTGATACAGTATATATATATATTGGCAAAAGTATTGGGACACCCCCTTCTAATAAACAGGTTTGACTACTTTAGTAATTTCCAAGAGTACAAATCTTAATGTTTAAGCATATAATGATATTCTTGGGAATTGTGTGCTTCTAATTTTATAGCAACAGTTTGGACAGGACCCTTTTCTATTCTAACATGACAGTGCCTCTGTGTATAAGGCAAGGTTAAAAAAGAAAGGATTGATTGAGTCAGTGTGGAAGAAGTGTATATATATATATTTGTAAAATGGCACAGCTTTTTTTTTATATCTGAAAGTACACTCTTAACATGAATCAGTCAAGCATTATGATATGATAATCAAATATTATTTAATGATAGAACTTTAGTAATTAGAATTAAAACTGGCTAACCATGTTTGAGTGCATATTAGTCATTTTAACTGAACTTAGGACTGGTGTTGTTTTTTTTGGGTCATTCAGTGTTTCTGTAAAAAAAAATGGGGAAAAAACTAAACAATAACACTGACAAGATAATAATAATAATACTGTGAATTCTATTAATAAGAACATTATAAAACGCACTAAGGATTATTGAGCTGCTGGATTCATAAATATTAATCAGGTTGTGTGCATTTGCTGGAACTGATTCACTGAAATCAAAACAGGGACGATAATAGGTGAGCGCCAGCCAATGAGATCGTCGTTTGCGCATTAGCTCCGCCCACTACCGGAGAACCCGGCATTTCTTAAAAGCTGAAGAATTCCACAGGAACTCCGTTATTTTGACAGGAAAAGACAACAAAGAATATCGTTTACATGTAGCACGTCAATTCTGCATGGTATGTAAGACTCACTCTCGCTCGCTCTCTCTTTCTTTCTTTCTGTGTGTGAGACAAAGCGACGAGTCGTGCGCCTTCACACTACAGTTTATGGTATGTCTAATACAGGTGCGCTGCGCATCCATTCAGATTAACTGAAAAATAGCACAGATCACTTGACGGAGAGTGAAACTCTGAAGCGCTCAGGCAGAGTGAAAACATATCTGTGCTAAACTTATACTTAATATCCTCCAGCTCGCACACTGGCGAGTAATATTAGACATCATTTAGTCGCCCAGAGGGAAGATTTAGTCGCATATGCGAGTGATTTACTCGCAGTGTAGAGGGTTATGTCCATTATGAACAGTTGAAATTGTGTGTGTGTGTGTGTGTGTGTGTGTGTGTGTGTGTCACTGTTTTGCAGGGGAATACTAAGGAAAACATCACCTGCTTACTTGTTACATTTAAAAGACATTATGGTTGTTAAACGGCCTCGTCTTCTCCATGCCTTGAGCAAAAGATGTCTGACTGCATGCATGTTGCCATCATGCAGAAAATGTCTCTTGAGCTTTGCTTATTCAATGTATTTGCAGTAACAAAAAGCCATGAGAATACCCAAAGCTCATTTCTCCAGCCAAGAGATTGATTTTCCCCGTTTGCAGCGCTCTCTCAGACGCCTCCACCTCAAGTCTGTGGGTTTGCTGTCTGCCTTTAAATCGCTGTGACTAACAGAAGATCTGTAACTGCAGGAACCCAATGGAAAGAAGATCTCCTCAGTATCTCAGTTGTTTCTCCCAGACAATAATTAGATTAAATGGGGAGCAAATAGAGACTTTCTCTAGGAATATGTCTGTCACCATCTACCGCTGGAAAGGAGCTCTGTCCTCCTCAGGCTCAGATACCAGGCTGGGCTGGTTTTGTTTCAGTGAAGGACACAAAGGGATTTGAAACCTGCTCTATTAACTATAACATGAGCAGCATGTCAGTACCAGCATTCTTGGCCAGTGTTTGTCATTCGGTGGCAGAACCTGCATCCAAAAGCCTCCCAGCAATAATTCATTTAGAAACAGGAACCAGTCAGACAAGCTGTTGACTATATATGATTGGACACACTCGTAAAACCTCTGGTGTGTGATCTGGGTGGTGTTTATCTCTTCTCAGTGCGTACTGGTCACAGATGTGGTGTTTTGGACTCCATAATAAAAGCATTGATGTGTGTTGAATCTCTGCATGCGTTATCGGCCCCTGCTGAAGTTTAGGTGCTACAAATCACCACAGAACAAAGGCGTGTGGGTCTTTTTATAGAGCTCCAGTAATATCTGCAGCTGCTATGTAAAGTTTTCCTAGGGTTATATGACACACAAGCTGCTCTTGTCTTTCTGTGCTTGACGGCTCACACCAGACCCTCGGTTTGACTCACGATAAGGATTGTTTTGTCTCCTCACTCTACTGGTTCACATTTTTCCTCCTCTTTAATTTCTCTATTAACACGAACGTAAACATGCCATATATATAATTTGTCTCATCTACCCACACTTCAGTCATATTAAGGGTGCTCCGATCAGGATTTTTGGAGCCAATCGTCGATCACAGGAAGCAGTATCTGCCGATACGATCACCGATTACGATCTTTTTGAAGCCTTCTTTTTATCATGTAGAATTATTTATAGTGATGCTCAAATCAGGATTTTTACAGACATTAATTCAGGGCCTGAATTTCATTTTTGAAAATGGCGGGAATTCACCAGTTGACTCATGTGGGGGGAATTTTTTTATTTAAGGGGTGGGGCATTTTTTTGAGAAAAATATGTAATTATCTCACCTTAAATGTTTGATCATGCAGTGCATTTTTGTTTTTATTGTGGGGCAATTGTTGCACAATAGCTTACCGTCAGCACAAGCCTGATTTGGTGAGCTGTATGCGAGTAGGCCTTATGTGTGCACTTTGAGTGTGCATGAGCACTGAATGGTTTAAACACTGGCAAGACTTGAAAAGAAATGCAAAATATAAACTTTAGTGACAATGTGACACTGCCTCCTTTATAGAGACCAGCGATCAAACTTTCCAAAGCCATTATCGGCCGATAGCGATTGGTAGCCGATCAATCGGAGCACCCCTAAGTCACATAATACATTAAATTAGTATTCATTATGTTGACTGTCATAAAACTAACCCTTGTGCTGTGATGACACTGATGGGATTGTGTTTGTTGTTCTCTTGTGTTTTTGTAGGACTGCACTACAGTTACGCCCGTGACGCTGCGCATTGACCCGCGGGGCTACTTCCTGTACTGGACCGATCAGAATAAGGTAATTAGTTTAATTTTTCAAGTGGAGGGAAATCTCTCTCTCTTTCAGACGCTCAGTAAGTTTTCTGTAGTGTTTCTGCAGTTTTCTGTCTGCATTATAGACGACGACAAAACTACTGCCGATAAATAATAGTGAGTGTCTCTTACACAGTGGTTTGCTTTTAATTAATTCATGTCAGTTTCTCTTCTAAACGTAATGGCCTTTTTCGTGTTTTGCAGTGCTTTGTAAAAATATGATAGCAGCTGATTTCTGACAATTTAGATGGATGCAATTAGACATGCTTGTAAATTGGCTAGGAAGGAGAACTGGGAGGTTTGCTGTCTTCTGACAAATGTAACACAAGAAGAACATGAGTATTTGTCTTTCAGAACAGAAGCTTGTGGATCGACTTGTGATTTTCTTCCACTGCACAAACGCACAAAATATCTCTGCAATGCCATTTTTGGGAAAGCATTGAGGTTTGAGGAAGGGGTGATTTTCTTACAATTTTCAACTGTAGAATACAAGAAATGAGAAGTCTTTCTACTCACCATTGTAAGTATCCATTACAAACATGATTCTGTAAATATGCAGTATTATATAGATATACCACTAACAGAAAATTGAAGTCAACACTAGTTGCTGAAAGTCAGATTCAGTCTGCATTTTGTGCATTTGGAGTTCACAGAAAATTGTATTGTGTATGATGAGCAGAGACTCAGACTCTGGTTTCATCTGGTCGACTATATCAGATATTAGATATTATTGATATTTTGAGTCGATTTTAGACATATTTCATATTTTTTAAAGTGACTTATAAACGACTTACCACCTCTTTCTCCCATTGCGATCTGTACAGTGTGTGACTTGGTCATTTAGTGTGTGATGCCCTCCTCTGTAGCCTTTTACAAAGTCAGCAAGTTGTATGATGTTCAGATTTGGGGAGTCGTGTAGTGTATTTTAGCCTTTATACATCAGTTAGTTCCATCGGGGTTCTGTGAGTGCTGATTTAACAGTCCAGCAGCACTGGGACTTTTCACTCTGCTTGTCTGTGTTTGCTCCAGACAGATATATATTTTGAATAATGTGCACTGATGAATTGTGTGCAGTGAGACCAGATACATGTATTAAGAAATGAAGAAGTGTCTATTTGAATGTCATCATGTTGTGGTTTTTAAAGATGTCCTGTACATCATACTAATAGGTGTTTTTCTGTCTGATTCTTGGCAGTGCTTCTTCCAGGGAACAATCAAATAATCAGAAATCCCCAGCATATCAGGATACAAAAACTAACTGAGACAGATTTGAAAACTTAAACCACGGAGGCTATCTGCTAATAGAGAGATGCTTTGTTGTTGCAGCTCTGGCACATGAATAGGCTCTCACTGTCATGTAATCTGTCTTGACCCTCTGCCTCTTGTGGCTTTACATCTAGTTTGTCCATCGTATAATCATCTGACGTTGTCATTTGCCTGCTGTCGCTCTCGGTAGCTTCAGGAAACATTCTTAAGAACAAACTTCTCCTTAACTGATCATTTCTTTGTTTAGAAAAAGAATGCTTCTTAAGAATGTTCTTATCTTTTCACTTAAGATTGTTCTTAAGACGAAACATAAGAAGAATTTGAGTTCTTGAAAAGAATCTTCTTAAAAATCCTTGTAAATAACTTCTTAAATTTAGGATTGCCTCAAACTTAATCTTAAATCCCCAAAGGTAAGATGTTATATGAATTTATTGGCTTATTTCAAATTAATTGTTGTAATTTAGCATAACAACATAATACATATTACTGTACTAGGGATGTGCACTAGTTTTCTGAAGTGACAGACCAGTGATCGATAAAGTAAACAATGATTGGTCATGATTATGCAAGACACAACGTTTAGCTGTATTCAAAATTCAGTAACAACTCTACAAAAAAGAGTCAAATAGGGAACTCGTTTTTCATTTTAGCCTATAAATAAACAATTCAAAATACGTGGTGCATTAGACGACGCAAGGCCGAATGCTGGACAAACGTCAAGCTGTTTGCGATGAAAATAGTATGCATGCTTATAGACCTTAATCAGGTCAGATGCCATACTGAATTCAACACGGATGAAAATGAGATGTGCGGGATAGACTACAGTCTTCACAATGGCACACACAGTATAAAGGTCCTAGATCATGTCATTTTTTTCACAACTTACAACTTTCAAAACTGTTTCATGGAGTTTTTGTCTACTGATGTTTCGTCAGCTGAACAAACAACAGTACAATCCACTGAACGCGTTGTACTTCTATCCCTCACGGCCTGTCAAGAAAGAAATATGGCACTACCCTGTCTATTATGATTATTACGTTAATCTGTAGGCTGTGAAAAAGGTGGCCTTTTAAGTTTTTTCTTTAGTCTTTTCTTCTTAAGAAAAAATATTTGAGAACTTTTGCACTTAGTAGCATTCTTAAAAACATCTTGGAATTTATCTTAAGAAATTTCTGAACTTACTTCTTAAGAAGATTTTCGTGAATCCAGCTCTAGATTTGTATGTAGTTGTTTATTTGTGTAGGTTGCATAGAACATGGTGTGTGTGTACATCTGCGTCCTGTGGAGTGACGGCGCTCTTTAGATCCCTCAGTAACAGGTTTCTGCTCCTCTTGTCTCTCTCAGCTGCACTGGGATCAGGATTGAATCCGGCACTGACCGCAGCTTCTGCTCCCAGAGGAGTTTTGTCACGAGTCTGTACTGCTCTGACATCCATCCACTGCCAATGCACTGCTGACCCGCACTGCGTCCCTTCCCACAATGCAGTGCACTTACACTGTTCATTTTAACAAGCAAACCTTGGCCCATTAAAGCTCCACAGAAGTGTTGTGTTTTGACGTGAGGCATGTGTTTTTGACCAGCTGGATACTGCAGGCTGGTTCAGGTCCACTGAGCATGTCAGGATTTCTCTCTGTGTGTCGTTGTTTCAGTTTTAAGGTGCTTTATTGGCGTTACAAATATATTTTTACGTTCATATTGCCAAATGTATTGCTGCATGCAATTAAAACAAAATATGAATAATGTAACTGCAATGAACCTCTTTGTCTCATACACACACACACACACACACACACACACACACTCGTGTGCTGGTATGTTAACCAGCAATGACTGTTTTCGCCACTTTGCTAAAGGTCTCTGTTGTGATAGTGATGTTGATCTGAAAGCTCACTGTTTTTTTCCACATAGCAGTACAAATGTAGGTTACATGTAGAGAGCATGAAAGAGAGCAAAAGTTCAGAAAAATGCTTGATGGGCCTCTGAATGTGTAGCGCAGAGGAAGCACAGCATGCTGTTCTTCATCACTTATCAGAAAAAACTGCTCAAAAAGACAGGAATGCAGAAAAGGAAGGAAGCAACTGCAGCCAGGATCCAAATGTTTTTCAGTCACACCGTTCGTCTGTGTGTCGCATTGAGGAAAGCCAGCACGTCTCAGCTGTTGTTTAAATACAGCCATATTTTGTTTGCAGAGTGGAACAGGAATGTGAAGTGGGTGATGCGTTTTGAATGTCTCCCAACCCCCCGGCTGTTAGTGAGCCGATCATTTGACTAAAGCATTTGCATGAGGCTGCAGGGCTGTGACACAGTCCTATACTCTGTGGATCGCAGCAGGACGGACTCTCACACAGCAACTCTTAGACAAAGCAGTTTACAAAGTCTGCATTTATGATGCTGCTTGAGTCCCATGAGCCTGAGCGTCTCTTATGAGGGATGCAGGTGCAGACGTAGTGGCTTTAGCTGTACAAAAGCATGACACCGTACACCTCTGTGCCTTATCTGCTCCTAAAGAATGCACGCTAGTACAGTAAGGGTGCGTTAGAAAAGGTACAATGATGTCATTGTAAGTTAAGTATCAACTTTATCTCAGATGTTTCTCCTAAAATTCCATTGGTGAAATGGCACAGTTAATGTGGATGGCACAGCAATAATTTAATGTTGAATGCACAGTATGAGCTCATTTGATTGTGGATTTTGGCATCTTGACAAATCTGTGCACAGTTTACATTTATTCATTTAGCAAACGCTTTTATTCAAAAGGACTTACAAATGATGAATACAACAAGCAGTTCATCTTAAAGAACCTATAACAAGAGAAGTGCTTGCAATACAAAGTTTATGTCAGCAGTATACAGTTAAATGTTCACGGAAGAGATGATTATTAAGCTGTTTCTCGAATATTGTCAGAGATTCAGCTGTCCGGATAGGGTTTGGAAAATCATTCCACCAGTGAGGAACAGTGAAGGAGAAAGTTCTGGAAAGTGATTTTGTGCCTCTCTGGAAGGGCCTAATCTATCTGATGTTGTGCAACGCAAACCTGCATGCTGCCATTATAAGCAGTGCACATACGTTTTTAAGCCTGGTTCTCATATGAGAACCTGGAGATTTGGTTTGGTCCTCACACTGGATATATTGTTACCCATTAAATATAACTATAAAAAAATTTAATTAATAAGACTGATAATAATATTGCACTTTATTATCATTTTTTAAAAATAAACTAAATAATAAAGTGTGATAATAATGTTATATTTTAAAATAAAAGGGAAGTATTAAATACAAATACAATTACTTTATAGTAAACTTAAAAATAAAATGTTAATATTTACTACTACTTTTTTTTAATTTTCATCATTTTCGAACTTAAAATCAGCAGGCTTTTATTTTATTTTGGCTTGGTATATGCGCTTCCGGGTTTGGAGCTGCCGATCGAAGTACGTCAGTGAATGAAATGTCACAGTTTTGCATTGTGCTTTTAAAAAACGGCAGCGGATAGCCTAGATTTATGCTTTCAGTTTGAATAGAAATCTTATACAGTACAGTTTGACAATCTAAAATGGTGATTGTGCATTAACAGCTGTCAATCATGTCGGTACGCAAATGCACTGTCATAACTTATTTACACAGCGCATTTTTTATTTTGGTCACGCATGCGGACCTGCGAATCACTTATGTGCACCCCTGACCTAAATCAGGACGCAACCTTCAGTTTGTGGTGGACTA